GAGTTACAGCTCAGGTCTGGATTAGATCATTATTACTTATAAATGTTATATTTTTCTGGTATATATCTGCTGTTTTACATGATTGTTGAATGAAATTAACATAGTTATTAATTTATTGTAAAAACATGACAGATAATCTATGAAACAGATCCAGTTCAGCTTGTTGTTTATCTGTTAGTTTCTATGTTTGCTGTGAGCTGTTGTCCTGTTTGGTCTGTTTCTGCTCCTCCATGCTGTCACAGACACTACCAGTGGACAGTATGGGAGGGGCTCAGACTAGTGATCTTATTCAAGTCAATGTTTTTTACTTAAAATGTTTATTTTTTTATTTTTGTTGGAAAGTGATCTAATCCAAACAATGTCTACTACTAAAAGCCTGACAGCAGCGTTCAAACTGAACGTCCTCTTGTCATTAGCTCACAGATCTGTCCAAAACTGCCAGGTGAATTCAAAATGTGATGGAAATAAAAGAATAAGGTCTGAGTAGTGATGGTGCTTCAGTAATTTGGTTTCCTAAATATTGAATACTAACTGGCTGTYCTCTGTTCTAATGCAATAAGTGTAGAACCTGAGTGCAGGACCTGGACCACATGTACCACACCTTTACTAAACTTGGTTCAATCAGACATGTTTGCTCTCATGTCTACAGTTAAAACAGGACCTGAATGATCACAACCATCCATCATTATCTATTACAGAAGAACCCGTCCAGAAGACCTACACAATTTTTTTCTATTTGATCCATCATTATTCTTTTTACAGAATACTTTGGGATTTTTCTTGACTGAATCATATTTTCATAGATCAGTGTACACTCAGTGCCGACACAACCAGGAGTGAAGAAGCTGCTCTACACATTTCAGTTTGGAAATAAATGACTGAAAGCAAATACTTGAGTTTGGAGCTGCAGAATGTCAAAGTGCCTCTTGTTGTTAGAGACAGCTGTTCCAACGTGTTCAGTGCTCAACAGGATATAAAAACGACAACAAACATTTAAACAGTTCAAGTCATCAGCTCACTGAGACACATGGAGGCTGTTACCTGTTTGCCAGCTGCGTTAGCTGTATAGTTGGGGGGTGCGGAGGCTGTTGGTGGTGCGTGGGTGGCGGTGGTGTAGGATGGAGGAGGAGCCTCTGTGGTTGAACACAGAACATGGTAAGGTARTCAGAACTCAATGTTCAGATGTTGGTTCCACAATCAACAAATACTTCTCCAAGGTTTTCTGACATGGCCTTGATCAGTTTGACTATCAGCTCTAAGAAGGCTCTATAAACTCTGTGAGCTCATCTCAGCTTAGAGTTTTCAGCTGAAATGCACAGTTCTAAACTGTCAAAACTCATCTGACACTAAAATAAGATGACATCATACCTCTGCTGAAACTTGTCCTTCCTCGCTGAATCAGAGGTTTAAATGAAACTCCTAGTTGTTGAACGTACCTATCTGTGCATCTACAACCATTGGAGTCAGCTTCGTTCTCTGAGCGACTTCAGCTGTAATTAGTGTCCAGAGCTGGTTCCATTATTAATCTTCAAACCCTAAATGTTTGAACTTATGAGAAAATGTGTTTAAACCCTGATTTCAGCAGAGTGGGGTCACATTTCTGTGCATTTAGGTAAATTTCTGTAGGCTTTATTCTGTCAGCTGAAAAGTGTGTGTGTGTGTGTGTGTGTGTGTGTGTGTGTGTGTGTGTGTGTGTGT